CATTTCTTTCAATGTGAGTTGTTTGATTTGTTTTCTCTGCTGATACTTTAGACTAATACTATAGATATATAATTTCTTGTTCAGTTATTGAGTTCCATTGTTCAAGTCCTGTAATTGCTGTGTCGAGAATTCCGAATAACTTGTCAATCAAAATTTTTTCTCGTTCAGTAACCTCTCTGTTACTTTCTTCACTATCGGTAGCTGTATTTTCTGGATTTAGAACCATACTACAGATTTCGCCCTCCGTTAACTGATTGATGATTGGGCATTGTCATCGCAATGAAAAACTTCTGTTTAACTTCGCTAAATTCTGCCGCCTGGTGCGGCCATGCGAGCTCTGGCACTGGTTCTGGCTTTATGTGAGTAACAAATCAATTATTCTTCATTCAGATAGCACTAAATATAATCATTTGTCCTATGAGTATCATTAACAAAATCTATTTTTAGCATAACGAAAGAAATTTCTGCTAAATCTTCCCTTGTCAACATTTTAGCCCATTGAACTTAAATCTGTAATCGGATAATACTCTTATTTGGCGTCGCTGCATGAGTCATCACTCAAGTTGTCATCCGTTGATAAACATGTGGTGATGAAAGCAAAATACAATAAATAATGATTCGCGATTTCGGCATCAAGGATATAAAATATTAGTTGGTGTAAAATTAACAAATGTTTCGGTTTGAGATTATGCCAAGCAGATACACAGCTATGGAGTCAAGTTACTAATCACACAAATTTATGCTAAAATAATTATTTCTTCAATAATGATATTTTTTATTTAACGCCAAACTGAGATTAAGAATCGAGGATTTCCGACATGTTTTTTTTATGATGAAAAAAAAAAAAAATCTAATGCGCATGCGTGCGTAAAGCGCATAGATTTTCCCCTTCCCTTCAAAAAAAGCCCTAAAAATTGGTTGATGGTGGCTTTGAGGTCCGGATTTTAGATCATTCCAGATATTGGATGTCCGGATCTCGGACTTTGTACTGTATATATATATATATATCTTTCAAAATATAACTTACCAGTATGGATTCACTCTTTTAAAATAATTCTACTTTAATTAAACTTAGGAGATAATATAATCAATTAATCAATATTGTTTAGGAAATAAATTATATATATATATCTAGTAAAAATGTATATTTTCACTATTCAAGTATTCACTGTGACAAGTATTCTTATCTTGTCACATGAACAGGCCTCTGTGGAAAGGGGCTTCTCTGTAAATAAAGCAATTGAAAATTTAAGTGACTCATCATACATTTTTCAACGCACAGTATTTGATTACATAAAATTTTCTGGAGGTGTTCTTAATATCGAAATTAATAAAGAAATGAGATCAGCAGCAGCTTCTGCAAGAAGTGGAATTCGTTATTTAGAAGTTCAGTATTTAGAAGAACGTTCAGTATTTAGAAGAACAAAAATCTTTAACTAAATCTGAAAATTCAAAGAGGAAAAGAAATATTATTGAGGAAAGAAATTGATTATATGAAGCAGAAGAAAAAATTTCTTCAAAGGGACATTAAAGATATTAATGAAGAAGTAGATGCTTTAGCAGATGAAGCTGAGACCAGCAGGAACATTGATTTGTTTATCAAAGCAAATGAACTTAGAAGAATAGTTAAAGAAAAGGAAATAGACATAAATAAATTAGATGTTAAAATAGCTGAAACGATTTCAGATTTTTAAAAAAAAGCACAAATGTTTTGTATCTTTTATTGTACAGTTTATTATTCTAGTATCTTTCAAAAAACCAAGGAAATAAATTGTATGTTTACAAATCAGTTATTTTAATCTGCAAAATATTCTTACATTGTGATTATAATAGTAGTTGACTGTGTTTAAATAAATATCAAATAAGTTAAATAATAATCATGTAAATCTCTAAAATAGTGACTGTTATTAGTGTAAAATACACTTATACATGTTTTTCAAGAAATTATGTTCCTAATTTAATGTTATCTACTTCATAACATGTAGGGAGTTAGTTTAATTTTCAAAATTGTTTTATGGTAATTGAAATTACAAGCATGAAGTCGGTTGTACGGATAATTGCTTTATTCTATTTATTTTTTTGTTTGCTGATAGGTCCTTAATTTTTTCTTTGATGGTCCTTAAAAGTCCTTAATTTTCATGTAAGGAAATGTGTACGAACCCTGGTTAATTGAATTCTTATCCCCATCACAAGGTTATACATACCTTCTTACGTGTGTCGACAGATACGTACGTTGACAAGAGGCTGTCCCTTTTGTGGATATGTCACCTGACACAGTGGCCAAAACATATTTTATGCTTGGATTTCACAGTTTGGAGTCTGTGTTACCAGGGACCGCAGTTCGAGTCCCAGTTATTTATCCTCATCACTGTACCACCTAAGTTACAGTGGACTCGTTGAGAGGTTCCACCGATCTCTTAAACGGGCCATTAGATGCCATACTGTTTACCGGGTTGATGTTCTTCCCACTGTATTTTTAGGATTAAAAACAACATTATGAGAGGACTTGGGTTCTTCTATATCTGAAATGGTTACAGTGCCAGTTTACGTTTACTTGGAGATTTCATAAACCCAGCAAAAAACTCGAACAATGTTAAGTCTCATGCATTTCTAGACAATTATGTGAAACCATGGTCACATTATCTATTACTTCAAGAGGTTTTTTATTCCCAAAAAACTCACTACATCCTTGCATGTGTTTTTAAGTTGTGATAAAAAAAATATCTTACAAAATATAGGAGCCCACTTATATAGGCCTACATCTAGTTCTATGTGGCACATCCAAGAACTGTTGGAAATAGAGACAGTGGTGAGCATTGCTCATCTTAAATCAGCCTTTCTTTTTACACTGGAAGCTGTCAAGACTGGACTTGCACACCATCTTCAAAGGCATGTTGAACATTTATACACCTTCACAACTAATGTCTACACCTCCAATTGCCTCTGCATCATCACCTGAGCTTGGAACCCCGAAACCGAGTGTTCTCCAGCATACACGTTCTGGACTTTGGGTCCAATTTTGGTACCTTTAATTTCGCTGCCAATAGAGGGGGAGTACTGTGGCAACACTAAGTGAACAAATAGACCCCAAAATCCTTCAAGTTACGTTATCGCCATGGTTCGTTGATTTTTTCCTCCTATGCAATTATCATCTATGTTAATTTAATGCATAATGGTTATTTTAAAATTAATCTATTGCTTCATGTCTCTAGTTTATCATTAAAAAATCTGCCAAAGCTTGTACATACATTTATTGTTGCAACTGGTACAGCTGTGTGCAACACATGTATTTATTTAAATTATGATTGTTTTTTTAATTTGTTATATAAATGAAACAAGAAAAGTATAGAAAGGCTTTATTAGCAGCAAAACTTGACTGAAATTAATTTTTTATATTCATAAACTAAAATATTTAACAGGTAAATAAAAGGCTGACTACATCCTCCTGAAGCTATGAAATCTGCCCTAAGAGAAAAGATCTCACCTGATTGAGAACCCCTGTGATAATGTGTTCCTTGGCAGATATTGTTCTCAACATCTATTGCCACCCCTTTGTGTTTGTCACTTCATTAACAGAACACTCTGTATACATAATACTTTTTTTTTTTAAATAACAGTTTTCAAAATTTGTTAATTTACCTTAACCAGATTTATTATAAGTATGTAGAAAACCATAATGCAGTGCTAATGGAATATAAATTAAAGGGTACAATAATTTTAATGAAACAGAACGTAAATATGAAGCTTATATTCACATAACTCAAAATTACAGCACCTTTACAAATTTCAACATGCACATTTTTTTTAAATAAACCCCAGTGTACTATATTTTGCAACAAAATAAAACTTCCATCCTTTTCATGATTTCATAGTGTTATCTTATAAATTTCTAAAACCAAATCACCTAATTTCATTGGAAATTATTTATATGAATTTACATAAATTTTTTTCTTGTGTCTTCACATGTGTGCTGCATGACAGTAAAATCGTGCAGTGTTGGTGCCTCTTTCTTGAACTCTCTTCGTTTTGGATATTTCTGTTGTAAATTGGTTGCTTAAATCTTATTTCTTACTTTTTAAGCTGCAAACACATGATTAACGTTTTAATATCATAACTTAGTTATCTTAACAATTTCACATCTCATTAATGTTTTCCATAACAGATAGTGTTACATGAATTTTCTTATTCATCGATCCATTTATTTACTTATAAACTTGCTTATTTGATCCTCCTGACCACAGCAAAAAATTTTTGCTTCTGAAGAAGAGGGAACTATTAGAAATCATCCTCAAAATCTATGCTAGTCTCAAGTTTCTTTCTTGCCTAATTTTATTTAAAATATACAAAAAAAAGTGTCAGCATGTGTGTAAAAATTACTTATAAATATTCCTATTACTGTTATTGAACTTTACTGTTATTGATACTTTTGAAAATGTTCATTACTGCAGTGTGAAAATTATTTCTCTGAAACATCTGAAACTTAAAATGGTGGAACGAACCTGTTTTAAAATATTTGCTTTGTAACCAGTAAAAATCACCAGAATTTTAAGTGCTGTAGGATTTTTTTTCATTGTGTTCTCATTTTGTGTTCCTCTAAACTATCTTCTTTTATTTTTAAATTATAAGTTATATAATATTTTGTAAGGTCAGTTATTTTAATCTATATTTAATTTGTCTTATCTTGTGTTTGAGAAATTAAGAATTCGGAACAGAGTAATTTCACAAATTCCTCTGAAATATTATTTTCTTTGATCACTATAATTCCTCAAATATAATTTTCTTTGATCATTATACATTAAAAACATTGTGTAATAGTTTAATATGCTTGTTCAATATGTGTAGTAAAGCTGCGGCACAGTTTAATTGTTGTTTATTTTCATGTGCTTCAGCATTAGTTTTCATTTAATTAGAGTATTTTCTTTTTTTATTGAATATTTATTGTTTAATTTTATATATTAAATGCCTTGTAAGTCTTAAGTAATATGTAATATTTATTTCAGGTTGCATAGTAACTCATATGTTTAAAGCATTTGTTCGTGTTGTTGATCCAAATCCTTACAATCAACTTTCATTAGAAGAAGCTACTGCTGATGAATATGTAACAAGACATAGTTTAGATGGAACAATACTATTTTCAGATCATAGGTTTGTACGTGATATATGTAAAATTCATTGCACAAACTAATTATACACTACTGCAGCTGATACTAAATCCTTCTATATGAAAAGTAGGTTTTATTAGTTACATAACCATTTGCTTTCCTACTTTTACCTCTACATGTAATAATAGTTGTCAGAATCGTCATAATTTATATTGTTTCAAAGCTGGTACATTAGCATTTGATATCCCTAAGCTCCCCACAAAAAAAAAAAAAAAAAAAAAAAAAGGGGGAGACTGTATAATTAATGTTTAGCACCATCCAAAAGTCAGAATGGGGAAAAAAAAAATGTGTTTGAGTCAATTTATGATCTATGCTAATGTAGTTAGCATAGAAATTCATCAAAATACAGGAGTTAAGCAGTTTTATTTTGTTTGTTCTTTAATTGCAATAATTATGTCCATTAGAAGAGCCGCAGCATGGCCAAGTAGCTAAGACCACTGAATACTGGTACAGTAGAGTCTTGCTTTTCTGACCTTTGCTTATCCAATGCTTAGCATTGTCCGACATACCATCACAAAAATATACCATCAGTTGGCAGCAAGAACGGCAAGTTGTAAACATAGTCTTTGTTGTTGTTGCTACTGCAGACTCATAACATGACAACTCATGTCTGTCATTCAGTGCAGTGCAGTTTATCACTGAAAGATCATTTTGTTATACAGATCAACTTATGTTCTGTTACTATTCCTGCATTATGTGTATGTGTGACAAATATTGTGGTGTTTGAATCAGTATGAAATAACTCATGAAAAATTCTCACTCTTGTCCATTGAGATGGAAACAAAATTGAAGGCCAGGATCGAGCACCAGCTGTTAAATGTTGCAGAATTTCACATAACAACAAGGTTAAGGCTCTAGAAACTGCAACGGAATACATTGAGCAACAAAAAAAAGTTACAGGAATTAGCTAGGAAAGTTAGTGACACTGCAAAAATGGCGGGACTTAGTAACGAAAAAATGGCACTCATCAAGAAAGCAGACTATGATCAGAAATTTTCATTCATTAAGGATCTGAACTTTTGAAGTACTGTATGTACTGTATTTAACTTAGTTAATTTTGTGACTATAAGCCATTTTCTTGTAAAAATCATCATTATGCAGATAATATGCAAAATTATAACATAGTTTGTTGTTTAATAGGCCTTTATCATATCACCTTGGTTAGTTTTTGTTGTTTACCCACGTACTGTGAATGTGAGCCAGCTTCCTTCAGAAAGTACTATGAAAGCATCCTCCTCATTGGCAGATAGCCCTCATAGCTTTACCATATTAAATAATCTAGAACCATATATATTAGATGATGATGTACCTAGACATCCCTGAATATATGATGCTGGCAACTGTAGATTCAAATTCTGATATATAGGCTGGTTGTGTGGGATTTTTATGGTTTTCCTCATGTGTAATGTAAATATGAGTATTATATGCATTTTTCTTTAAATGGATAGCTTTTTTTTTTTTTTTTTTTTTGTGGGGTGTGTGTGTCTTTTAAACAGTCAACCAGCTTACTACCAAACTATCACTGTCATCACTGTTGTAAGCAAAAGTAGTAGCTTTTTTTCTAGATCATTCTTTCATTTGTTTGCTTCTCTTTGTGTCTTTATTTTGTTGCTCAACCCAGCTAAAAGTCTTAGGTATTACTTCTCTATTTATGACTTTACATGTTAGAGACAGTGATCTTTTCTATTGTCTTAGTTCTGTCTTTTGCTTGATGCAGGGGTGGCACAAAAGTATCTGATGCCTATAAGCAAAGAAAATTTTAATCTTGTTACATTGTCTATCACACAAACAGGTACATACTCATATGAATATTATAAAAGTATGAAATAATGAGATTTAGAAGCTTTTATCCATTGACACTAATATATTTGTATGAGTATATCAGTGTAACCTGTATGTAAAGAAAAGTATTGCATCTTAAAATACAAAAATTAATTTTTTGATTCTATTTTGGCAAAATTTTAAAATAATTCTTCTGTGTCAGTTATAAATGCAATTATTTGTCTACAGATGTTACTGTTAAAATAATTAGCCTCATAGACCGACTGAATGTTTCTGCAAGTTGTAATTTTGAAAAACTCCTATGGGAACATGCCACTAGTAATAACAATATCATATAAATTCTCTGCAATAAGCACATTTGGATACCTTCGTGCTTGGCTGACTTCTAGTGAAGAAGTAATTTCTTTAAACTCTTGTAGGTGTTATTTGTAATTCATTGGATCACGGCTTCCCAAACGTTTTGTGAATATGATCTAGTTTCATTTTTGTGAGTAATGTTATTTATCAGTAAAGTATAAAATAATAATCTTATAGAACAATATGTAGGCAGCTTGTGGTCAATACAAAAATGCAACACGATTGACCATTAGCTTGCATTCGATGGCTTAGGTAACCACTCATTAATTAAATATATGCCATTAATAGCTTTATAATTTTGTTTAATTTTTCCATTATCAAGCATACTTTTCGTCATTTTGCTGAATTGAAATCCTGCATTTTATATGTATTTAAGATAAAACTAAACTGTCCATTCCCTGTACATTGTGCTTGAATTTTTCACCAGCATATCAGCTGTCATATTACCACAAATTATGATATATCTTTGTCTGTATTTTTATTAAGCCTGCTTTATATTTAATTGCAATACAAATAATGTTTATTTTATATTTGATATTACTATTTGCAATTGAAAAATTGAAAAAAAAAAAATCTGCTCTTCCTTTATTTATGACAAAAGCTGGAGCCTTAATAGTAAAAATGGTGCTGATCCATTGCTGTGCCTTCTGTTGTATCACTTACTACTAGCAAATAATATCTTCCTCAAGTGAAAGGCTTCAGAAAATGTTTATATAGCTATTGGTATCGTTATCAAAAGTTAGCATTATTCTGACTTCTTACAAAACAGTGTTATCTCTAACCTGTGAGGAGAGAAAAATAAATAAATAAGCCGTTACTTTAAATATAAATGGTATCTTAGATTTTTAGCTATGAAACTGTGGATTAATTTTTCAGTACACTGTAGTATCATTCCAGAGGAAATGTTGTTTCTGTGAACTGTAAATCTTAGTTCATTTGCTGGCAAGCATCAATAATCCTGAATTCAGTATGTGAAATAGGCCCACCTGTATCCATGTGGATAAGACAGTTGACAGTGGTAATTTGATCTGAGTTTGAATTCTGGTGAATTGGCTAGCTGCATAGGTGTTTTTGAGCTTTCCTCATGCGTTATATACATATGAGGCACCTCTCTCATGAAAGTCACCTTTTCCCATAGGTGGATAGTTTCTGTATACTTTAATTGATTAAAAAAAACTGTTATTCCTTTCAATTTGACAAAAAAAAAAAAAAAAGGGGGGGGAAATAAATAAGTACCAGGATTGAGTGGAAATTTGTTGAAAATTCATCTGTAGTTCTAAAAAGACCTTTAGTACTGTAGATACAAACAATTACAGTCCCTTAATATGTTCAACTGCCATGTCTGCTACTTTCTGCCTCTAGAAGGTTTACACCATTAGCCCTGGTAAGGGTGCATTTTGTCCTCAGGTTAGTAACTACTGATGTTGTCTACCTTATCAGTCCTTGTTAAGGGAACATTTTACTCTCAGGTTGGTAACTGCTGGTGTATGCTCTGACTTATCTCCATTTTGTTGTGAAATAGTCATCATGGAATAGTAATGATTTTTCCTATTCCTAAACCATAATACATCAGCATTTTATTTTCAGCGTAACATCAATGAAGTATGGAATAACCTTTTGTGTTTCTGAATGACCACTCAGGGAAATATATGAGATAATTTAGTGTCATTTTTACTCTCAAAGGAAAAAATCTTAATCAATTATTGAATTTTTATAGAATACATAACCTTTAATATTTAAAATTTAGCAAAATAGCAACCTTAGTAATGCTTAGATTTTGAATAAAACTTTGTCAATTTTGTGGGTTATTAGGGATAGGTCTCTGATCTTCAGTAACAAAAATATTTAGTTAAAGTGGAAGGTCACTTTGGTGGGAAGAATGAAAGTAGTTTCATTAAAATTTCAAACATACTGTTTAAGTTATGAAAGCCCAAATATAGAGTTTGTGCAGGATCCAGAAGAACATGTTCCATTTAGTTTTGTTTGCATTCTGTTTCATGTAAAATAGAAGCATAAGTGTCTGAAGCAATATTTTTCATGGAAACCTGGATCTGTATCCATTCGAATTGTTGTGATGCCATGAACATTTACTGGCATATGTATTTCTGTGGATAAGCTCATTTTTTCTGTTTCAATATCCTTAACTGTTGTATCTAGTCCACGTCAATTTCCCATAAGTACACATAGACACCATTTCATTCCCAAAAGTTGAGAAGGTGGTCCAGTTTTATAGATTCCTTGATTTTAGGATCATTTTACTTTCGAATGTCAAATCTAATAAATAGCTGGACAAGGTTACAGTGAATGCAGAGCAGTATTTAACGCTTCTGTATGAAATGTTTTTATTTGCAGTAAAGAAGTACATTGTCTACAGTAACATTTATGCACACAATATGGCAAACAATCCATTGCAAATCCAGGCAAGGCATTCCTGATGGAGATCTTAAAAGAAGACATCACTCAGAATCCACTTCACCTTCCCATGGCCCGTCTCCAAATTTAACTCCAACACACTTCTGCTTGTAAAAACATTTGAAATTCCATGTGCATCATTCAGGTCCTTCTGGTTATTGGAGGTGAAAAATGCCATTTGCTAAGGTGTCATCTATACATTCAGACTTATTGCAGTCTCCTATTGCTGTGTTGTTACTCATTTAAAATGCATTTTACCATATAGTGGAGTTCATGTCAAATGCTAGCGTAATAAACAGCTTTTTTGTATAATTCATTGTTGACTTTTTAATTTCAGCGCCACCTTTCAGTGTTTTTTTTAATAACTTTTTTGGCATTGTCGAGGAAAAAATTCCAATCAATTCCCACCTAGTATACTTTTTTATTTTATTTTACTATAAAATTTGATCATTTTTGGATGTTACATGTTTTTTTAAAGTTTTTATGATCCCCCACCCTGTACTTCAGATTTTAAGTGGGACGTTCCAAATAATAATAAAATAATAAATAAAATTGCAAAAAAATGAAATGTGTATGAAACAAATAAATATGCAAACTATCTGATTTCAGGAGAAATGGCATTATGTTGGTCTTTCTAAGGTTATATCCTCATATTTATAACGTATGTGAAAAAAAATCTTGTATAGCTGAGCAGTTCTTTTCAAAACTACACAGGAGAAGAAACTATCTGTATTTGACAACTGTATTCTCTTAATTACTTGTGTACTGTTTAGATCAGAGATTTTCCCACTCCTCAAAATGAATTTAATTTTGCACTTTTTTTAAATATCTTATTAAAGTTTTTGTGCAAAAGCTGTAAAATCATTGATCCATATTTATGATTTGAAGTCTGAGCGAATCACAGACAATAACAGTTATGCAGTTTCGTGTTTTAATTTTGCAATTTTGAACTGTTAAAAATCAATAATGTGAAAGAAAATATTTTGAAAATTTTCTTCCAACTGTTTGTAAAATTGCCAATTCAACTTGTTCATAATCTTGATAGTTACCTATTAAAATAATTTCACCATTTTTTTCAGTAAGAATATTATTTTAGTATTCTTTTCAGAGTAGATATAAAATAGAGTAATCGCGAGACATTAGTTGTTGTTGTAAAAATGTAAATAACTATAGCTGTAAAATTAAAAACTAAGTTCAAAGAGTTTCAGTTTAATAATAATGTTGTACAATACCCTAAGGGAGAAGCCATTTTTTATGTTCAGAATTAAGAGTGGCAATATGTTCATATTGTTGAATGTCACTGCATTCCTTCATTATTTTTAAATTTTTAACACATGTAACTCCATGATCAGTGAAAAGAATGGATATTTGAAGGTAATTGACACCTGTTCTGTAAATAGTATATGATATTTTATTCTTATAAATACTATGTTAATAAAGTGCAATTTTTTAGATGGTTATTTATCAGAAAATTTTAAAATGATGATAATAATAATTTCATCGAGAGATTTGTTATGCCCTATTTTTTAATTCTCTTCCGCATATACCTTTTGAATTTTAATATAAATTAAAAAATTTTGTATTATGTCATGCTAAATTTTAAAATGAAATGAACAAAGTAATATTTCCTTTCTATATTATAATTTATAAATTATATAATATATATGTATTATAATTACAAAGTGGTTTTTTTAAAACAAAACATAAACATGCATAGTATTTTTGCACATTATAATAGTTCACCCGAAAATTCAAAAAAACAAAGTAAATTCTAATTAGAATCCTGAACCTTAAATAAAGTGAATTTATTTTATTTAAGGAATTGAAAACGTAAGTGAAAAACTAAAATACTTCAGTGAAAAATTTAAATCAAAATTTTTACCTTTAAACTTATGCATAATCCAAAGAATTTAAAACTTTATAAAACTTAGGTGAAAAGACTTAATTAAAACTCATAAGAATTAATTAAAAACTTCGAGCACATTCAATAGACTACAATCGAAACTAATAATATCATTATAGTAGTGACGTACAGGTTTGCCATTTTAGTTTTATTTATTCATTTGCAAAACTAAAAAATCTTGGCAAGAAAATAATTGCTCAAAAGGCTAAAATTTGGAACAAAAGATGGAATTTTGAAACCAAAAGAAAAACTTTTAGATAATTCAATGAAAGTTTTTTATTTTGACAAAGAAAAAGATTACTTTATAAATTGAATGAAATTGAAGTAAATTCTGACTCTTTTTAAAACAAAAATTTTGAATAAAGAATATTATGGCATATTTATATTTTGTTTTTAAAAAATTTGTTTTGTAATTATATATGTATTATAATGTATATTTCCTTTATATATTATAATTTTATTCTCATGGGCATTACATCTGTGTAAGTTTGAGAATATTCTTTTTAAGATTAATGCAGAAACCCAGCATGTGTTAGAAGATTCTTATAAAGTATTATATGCATTTTTTCTTTTTGTCTAGAATATCTACTGTTACTGGGCATCTACCTCAAGAAGTTCTTGGAAAATCTGCATATAAATATATTGTTGACGAAGATATTTCTATTGCTTTATTCGCTCATCATCTGAGTATGCAGTTTTGTTATTTGAAACTTTGTTTTTATAGTTTTCTAAACTAAAGGCTTTTTCAGAGGATTTGAGGCAAAATTTATATAATGTAACTCTCATTAAATAATAATTATATATTTCAAGTTATTTCAAGCATTTGTGTTTCATTTATGGTTAAGTTGAATGCATAAATATGAGATGAAATTTTATATATGATGAATAAAATTTGAATATGTTTTACATTTCTTCCACATTTTTTAAATGAGTATGAGAAAATAATTATGCTCTTAGCTCTTTAAATATGAGATTTTTCTGTTCTTTTAACGAACTTTTTGATGATAGTTTTTCTCAAAATTTAATAGTAATAAAAAAATCATATATGCCTGCTTGGTTAGAATGTTTCAAAGACTAAAGGCTTCGCACAGAGCACAGTTCAGTGCTTTTTTTAAAAAATATATTAGGATGAGTTAATTAATTAGACTTTTTTAAATGAATGTCTGAAATCTGCGAATTTTTTTAAACTTATTTAAAATGTTTTTCATGCATGGTATAATAAAAGTAATCATGCATGTCGCCATAAAAATAACCATAAGAATGTTTTGATTGTTTACTGTAAAATATAATACTGTAATAAGCTGTGATCAGTGATTTGTTAATATTTTTTATTAATTTACTAAATGTTGCAAAAATGCAACAACATGGGCCATCCTAAAACAGTAAGTTAATGCATAAACGAATATTAATCTATCTTCAAGTAGTATAATGAGTTGAATATATACTGTTATGCAATGTACAGGCGCTGTGAGATAGCTACCCCGCAAAGCAGGTTTAGGGTTGCCATAAAATGGCAAAGGGAGGCAGGATTGCCACATTTGGCGAGGAATCGCCCATTTGGCGACAAGCCATGGACGGGTAGAGAACCTTGTGTGAACGAATTCTTACCGGTTTAGCACAGAATGTTCTTGAACACAAGCCGAAAGATATATAAACCCTGCTGGTTTGCAGTCAGTAGTATCGAGTGTGTGTCGCCGAGTGGTAAAGACGCTGAACACTGGTAGTTCGGTCCAAGGTTCAAATCCCGCGAACGGGCTGGCTGCATGGGCGTTTTCGTGGGTTTTCCAATATGTAACTAGTATACGAGCCAGTTTCCCTTAGAAAGTCCTCCACGAAGGCACCCCTCTCTTTAGGCAGATAGCCCTCGTGTGCTTTGCCATAATTGAATAATCCCCAATCCCAATTGAGTGTGTGTCTCGTCTAGCGAGTTAGTCCGTGCAGAGTCGATCGAGTTGACAGCTGGGCAGCGAGTGCCGAGTGGGTCATCGAGTGCGCCGAAGGAGTCTCTTAGTGTATCCTGGTTAGTGCATCGTCGAGAGAGCACGTTGAGCTCCAGGAACGACTGGATCGAAGAGTCAGGAGCTGTGCTCTGTGTGTCTTCGAGTGCATCACGAGTTGTAGCATGGAGAGTCTAGAGAGTATGTGGAGTTCCGAGAACGACCAACCAGAGCTGGGAGCTGTACTCTGGTGATTTGCAGTGAAGCTTTCTTCTTCGTTATAGCCTGATAACCTGAAGGCTGTGTTGCTGGTTGTGTCAGCGTGTTTTTAGTAGTTCTTTGATGACTGTAACGTGATTTTGGAGGTGTCCTGATTAGTACTGGCTAAGTTAAGTGTGTTTCGATACTCCATCAAGTAGTATTGCTATTATTCACTCCAAATCCTCAGGAACCCTGTACGAATGTGAAGGAAGAAAATAACGTAGCAACTGGTGTCAGAGAAAAAAAAAAAAAAAAGCAACAATACCATATCTATAAAGGTCCTTACAAGGCATTTATTTTCACAGCCATTGATTGAGGATACATGGTTCTAGTTACAAAAATGTTTGAAATGATGCAAATATTAATATTAGGGCATTTTTTATATAAAAATGACATTTTTGTGTAAATTGCAGTTTATCTTCTTGTGAAAAACAAACTACAAAATGTTTGACACATGTATGGCAAAAAATTGATAGAAATATTTAGCAATTAGCAATTAGAAAATACAGCAACCACATATTCGCCTTCAGCTGACAATAAGGCAACAGTAGACTGCTTCTTACTGCACCAAGATATTGCAGCACCACCTAAGATCAGAACTTATCCACTGAAGGACTTTCTGTCAACCTTGTCAGCATCAGAGAATATTTCAAGGGATCTGCTTGTCTTTCTAAATGTAAGGGATAGATGTTTGGTCTCTTTAAGGTAGCAGAAAAGATGTTTAACACTCCTTCAGTGTAATTCAAATGGCCTCTCATTAAAATGGCTCATATAGGTTGCACTAAATGCAATATCAGGATGTGTTCCGCAAGCAAGGTGTAATAGGCTACCTATTACTTGCGTATATGGAATTTGGTCACTTTCTGCTTTTATATCTCTCCACTCTTGATCATTCACCTTTTGTTGTTTTACAGTGGGATCCATGGGTGTTGATGCTTCCCTGACTGATTCTAATTTGAACTCTTCCAGAATTTCGTATGTAAGCTGTCTGATCTAATGTTAAGTTGCCATCAATATGTTTCTGGATCCTGATAGATAGTATTTCATTTGCTTCACCTAGGTCTCTCACTTTGAATCTTTGCACAACCTTATGCTTAAATGTGGGTATTTCCTTTAGGGTCCCAACAATTAACATGTCATCTACACAGATACCAAGATACACTGCTTTGTTTGGATGGTAATAAATGCATGGATCACATTTTGAGCGTGACAGTCCACAATAATTCAAGAAAGTATCAAAGCATTAATTCCATTTTCTTCCTGATTGCTTTAAGCCATACAAGCCTTTTTTTTTTTTTTTTTAATGGCACACTAGATGCTCTTTACCTTGTTCTTGAAATCCTCCAGGTTGTACCATGTATATGTCTGATTCTGTGCCTTTAATTTCTTCTGCTGTGTCATTTAATGGGGCTTCAACATCTTTGACTCTTGTGGTGGTGCAACTGATGGGTACTTCTAATGGAACAACATTTACTTGACTGGCAGAATTGTACTCATGATTTAAGTTAAAGGTCAGTTCATTTTCCTTCTTTGCTTGAATAGCTGTCTTGCTCCACCTCAGTGGAAAAACTGTCTCATCAAATTTAACATTTCCGCTCACTAAAAACTTATCTTCATGTATTCCATAGTGTGTATACATTTACTCCTTCGGGATACCCTATAAGGACACTTTCTTGAGCACGCTTCCCTAGCTTTCCATTCTGCAATGTTTTCAATCAGTCTGAGCAAAAACTCAACAGCCAAATATTCTCAGGTGACAGTTTACACAGGCTTCTTGGTCCAGAGTTCTTCAGGTATGTTTCCTTCAATAGCTTTTGATGGACACTTGTTGCACAAATAGCAGGCCGTAGTCACAGCATCTGCCCACAATTCTTATGGAGTGTTTGGATCTAGAAGACATCTAGTAATATCAAATAGAGTATGGTTCATTTTTTCTGCAACTTTGTTTTGTTGTGGTGTCCATGGAATTGTGAGTTGTCTTGTTATTCCATTTTTTAGTTAGGAAATCATCAAATTCATTGTTGACATATTCCCCTCCATTGTCGCTTTGTAGAGTAGTGATTTTGAGTCTATGGAAATTTTCAACTTTTGTTTTATATTCCATGAATTTTTCAAGGACTTGATCTTTAGATTTCATAGTTTTAACCACAGCATACCTTGAATAGTCATCAACAAAGGTAACAATGCACTTTGATCCACCTTTTGATGAAGGTGTGATAGGTCCAATTACGTCATTATGTATCAACTGAAGTAATCTAGTTGAACGTTCAGCTCTTTCCTTGGGAAATGGAGTCTTCATTTTCAACAAAACACATGTTGAGCAAACAGTGTCCTTTTCATGGATTTCTTCGCACGTCATATTCGAATCATGCCTTTTCATAAGTTTCTTCACTGCATCATGGTGGAAATGTCCTAATCTTCAATGTATAATTTCATGTCTGGAAAGGTATATTTTGTGTGTTTGCTTCTCTTCAATTTTGTATAATCTTTGATACCTATGTGCAGTGAGGATGACCTTATCTTGTTGCCTTGGATCTTTTATGATTGCTTTGCCCCTCTCAAAGGAAACAGTCATTCCCATTATTTTTAAATTTGGGGATTATTTTTAAATTTGGATTTTTTTTTTTTTAACATTCATTGGACCTCCTAACACGGGTTTATCTGAGCTAACGGAGTCAGTTCCATGTTGTTATAAATATAATAAATGACTTTTCTAGATAAGCTCAATTGAAGCTTTAATCAACTAAAATTGCACATAAAACAATTGTTACGTTGTAAGAACAGTATTTAAACTAACAATGACTGTTGCCATTCAGTGTAGTTAGATTACTGGATTATCAGGTGCACTTTGGGTAACGATCAATATATCATCAGCTTACATTGCTAGTGTAGTGCTGGGTGTGCAAGGAATGTTGTTCACATGTATGTTAAATAGTGTGGGACCTAAAAGTGACCCTTGTGGGACACCAGCAGAAATAGCTTGTCGTGTAGAGTAGGTGTCAGAAAGGTGGATGGCAAAGTCTCTACCTGTTAGGTAGGATTGAATTGTGTGTTATGTAATGTGGGAAGCCCAGATTGTGTATTTTGTGGATGAGTGCATCCAACCAGAAATGATCAAAGGCCTTGGTTATATCGATGAATAGTCCGCCAGTAACCTTCTTGGTGTAGAGTCTCTGAGAAATATGCTTGACTACCCTGTAGAGCTGATGCATCATAGACAGATTACTCTGAAATGGAAATTGTTGGGGAATAATGATTCTCTTTTCTCTAGGTGATCCTCTTTTCAATATGACCACTTCCATAATCTTATTAAGAGAGGGTAGTAGACTGATAGGGCGATACGATTCAGGATTAGAGGCAGGTTTATTTGGCTTCAGAATAGGTGTAACAGATGCAGTCTTCCAGTCAGATGGAAAATGTTGCCATCGTATTGCAACATTGAAGATTTTTGTTACTAAGAAAACCGTTTTTCAGTGGTAAGTGCTTCAA